AACGTGGCGAGCCAGATCATCTTCAGATCCCCTAGATTTCTCGGCCTGGTATTTGGGCATAGTGTAAAGAGTGATATATTCCTTCCAACAGGCGACCCTGTGGCTGGGGCTGTCAACCAGAGCAGTCACTGCTTTCGTAGCCATGTCAAATCTATGCTCGGGCCCTCCTGACAACAACGATGCTCCTATCAGGGCCTCACAGACGTCAGCTATCGTCTTTTCTCCAAGGGCATGTTTTCCTTCGGAAAGGAGCTTCTTGCTGTGGTCCTTTCCATGCAACAAGGTCAAACCATCAGGATACCATATGTGTCTGCCATTCGAGCTGTCAGCATCCTATAAGTTCAGGTCTCGGTTCTCGAGACTCCACCTACCTTGAGAATCCCCGGCTACGAATGTACCGGTATATCTGCTTCTTAATGGCCGTATTGAAGAGATTCTTGTTGCAAATGAGGCACATCCGGTTCACATGGTAATCGAATTCGTCATCATCTGGGTTCTGAGTGAAAAGCGCGATCGATGTGGCCATTTTCAGAAAACAGTCGCCCAGGAACTCTAAACGCTCGTAGTTCTTGCCCATGCCTCGCTGGAAATGGATTTGTTGACCTCGATGCTCCTCAGTGTTGTCCGAGTCCTTCGTAAATGCCTCCAAGGCAAAATCAGGTCGAACAATGAGATCAAGTTCGTCACATGCTTCGAGAGCAATGAGATATGAGTCCAGTCTGCTGATGATTGCTGGAAATGCGAGACAGGTAGACGCTATCGAAGTAGGGATCTTCGCCACGCGTTAGCATGCCAACGTTATGCGCTAATGAGGGGATGAGGGGTCAACTAACGGCAGATATCCTCAGCGGCTCAGCACATATAAAACACTCTGTTTGCGTCTCTTTCTCCTGAGCGGTCATCTTATCCAGGAGATTCCGGCGAAGACGGACAAGCTCCGCCTGGAGGACTGGCTGATTCCAATCGCAGCCGGAAAGAAACCTGGCTCGTGAATTCTTTGACAGACTCAGGGTGTAGTTCATAATGTCGTTCATATGCCTACGGCGTGGCACCGAAGGTGGCGGCGGATCAGAGGGTCGCAATGTATCAGCCACAGCAACTGTGAAATAACGGAACCGCCCGTCCCAGTTGTCGAATATAAACCGATTCACCAAGGAGTCAGGGTTCAGGTCTCTAGAGAAAGGGATTTCGTCGTTATTCTGTACAAACGATATTGTATCCCAGTCAATACAATCGCGAGGATTTGTTCCCCTGCCTCGACCATTGAGCGCCTCTGCTGGAGCAAGCCAGTAAGGCATTTTTTGGACTTCATGTTCATAAACCTTGTGGAAAACGTCCCGAAATATGCGAAGGGTAAATGTGGTCAGCGACTGTAGTTCGTCAACCGATATTTGCAAGCCATGCTTCAGTTGGTTGGATAGGACCTTAGTCTCGACGTCCTCGTCAAGGTAGATTGAGAACGCCGGAAACTCTGGCAACTTTTCTCGGGTCAGCAAGAGTATGGGTCTGTGGTCGCGACTCAGGGGTTTCGAAGGCAGGAGGGACATGTGAATCCCGTAAAGTATGTCAGTTGGAGTGGTCCGTTGTCTAGCCCAGATGGAAGGCTTTAACAGCATGTCATACTGGTTCGTTCGCTTGCACGTAATGGCTAACTTTGCGTTCCTCATTGCTGGCAAGCGTTTGTGATAGATCGAATTAAAATAATCATCAAGCAATCTGTTTTTCCGGAGCAAGAGGCACGTGTCGAAAGCCGCAGATTGTTTGGCGACGGCCTTTCTCATTGCTGGGCTTCCAGTGAGTCCTCGAATGGGTGACTTTTCAGGCAATATCACTTCGCAAACATAGGCATTGCTGACAAGCGAGACCACATAGGTTACTTGAGGTACGGTTTCCTTCTCGTATTGCTGCCCAATGTTGATATCAGACTTTCATGAAGATCAAGGTGACAAAGCTTACAAGAGAACTGGCATAACGCGCAAGAATTGCAATAGCGGAATGATATGTGAGCTTTGCTCCTGTGCTTTTCACAGTAAAGGTTCGTCTTCCTTCCTCTTCCTGAAGTAGCGAATCCAAGTCGTGGTCGTTGCCGTGCAGTATTCGATCTTCGGGGAGAGTTTCACAGAACCGCTGCATGATTTTCTGATCCGTCAGACCCGTTCAAAGAGGTCCAAGATCTAAAAGTCCAACTTACTTCGGCCTCGCGAACCTCTTTAAGCCGTCCTTCATGCTCCGCATTGTCCTTCTCGACCATAATCGCGTACTGAGCGTAGACAATGTCAGAGGCTACTCAGGACAATCAACCAGATCAAGTAACGTACCGTGGAGGTGCAATGTCTAGCTCGTCCTCGACTTTGTACATACTGGATAAGTGTGCGATAAAGATCGAATCTTCGTGGGATTACTAAATATTCGTGAAAGTTAATGGTGCCATAACATACCTGACAACCAGATTGCAATCTGGGATATCGAGACCTTCTTCCGCCACTGATGTAGCAAACTTCTACACGTCAGACGAGTCACAATTAGAGCATTTTCGCGGAGTGTCTCACCAAGCAATTAATCTCCCCCGTTCTGAATTTCACTAAAGCAAGAAACTGTTGCCGAAACGTAACGTTCATGCCACCGATGTCACCGGGTCTAACGCCAATAAGAACCCCTGGACGCAAATGAGGAATGTTCAGGACTGTAAAAAGCTCATTGAGAATTTTTGCAGTGTAGCGCTTCTGCGTAAAGACAATACATTTTGTTCCTGTGGCACGGCTGAAGTGTTTGCTGAGTTCCATGCGAAGAAGCTGCACTTTAGGGCTAAGTTCACCTGGGAGCTCGGGATCAGCGAAAGAGCAGTTCTTGACGGTCTCACTTGCTTCTCTGATGCGTATAATATCTTTGAAAACAGCGCCATGTTCTGCATTCAAAGTGTTCGACTCAACAAGCTTACTGACGTTACCCTCAAGTTTAGGCAACACATCGTCTGCCAAGGCATGCCACCATGCTCTGTCTGAACACCATTTTCCCAGTTCTGAGCTGGCATGCCAGGCAAATCTAAAGACTCCTTCGAGTACCTTGATGTTGCCATAGCGAGCATCCATGAGCTGATAGAGTTCTGTTGCGAAAGGTGATTCAACCCTATTGTACGCCCACACTTCCTCTATGGGGCGACTGACGACTTGTCGCAAGAGTGTGATCTTTGAAGTTGTGGCAATTCGACTGTCCAACAAAGTCTCTAGTCTCCTACAAGTGATTAGTCTGATATCCTCTTTCTCACTGGCCGAGAACATACGTTGCGGCTTCTGTGATGTCGCCTTTTGTGTCGATTGGCGAAGCTGTCATTCCGAAGACCCTTGGACGCTGAGAAGGCTGTGCCTTGAAATAAGAATCCCTGATAATGCTTTGGTAAAGTTAGTATTAGCTTGTGGATCTGAAGTGTACCACGAACCGGGCATATGGGTGATCTTTCTTCGCATGATGAGCTTCATCAAAGATCAGAAGGTTTATTTGATCCATCTTTACGTATGAATTGAGCAAGCATTGGTCCAGGATCTCCGCTGTACAAACTATCACCATGTTCTGCTGCAAATGCTCATCCCAGGTCCGTTTATCCCATAGGTCAGTGCCCATGGCTCCAAAGAAGTGCGCAACATTCTGGTCAATGTTATTGCGCAAAACGGCCGCCTGTTGATATGCGAGTGCGACGCTGTCGACCTTGCAACGAGTTAGTGTACAGCCCACCAAGGCTAGCAGAACAAATACCAGAAAGAATGATACACGATGCGGTTTTTCATTCGCACGATTATCCAGCTCATTCAGGATGGTATGTTTCAGCAAAAGCACGGCGATCAATGTTTTACCCGATCCTACATACTGGTCAGCAGAAGATCCACTTACTGAAGAACAGGAGAGAAACGCTGAAAGCCAGCTTTAAAGGCAATACCTGTATCAAGAACAGCAATTGTGTTCTGCACCTTGGCCCGTTCGAACAGCTCAATCTGGTATTCCCTGGGGTCCAACATCCCGCTTCCCAGGTCTTGCTTTGCGACCAAATGAGCGATGGATAGCTCACCGTCTGATAAAGCTATTGGCGCTCTATCCATGGTTTCGTTGGAATCTGTATCGGCGCGCTTGGACAGCCTGCGTCTAAGTCAGCAATCGCTTACGAGGTATCTCCGGCGAGGGATACTGACAGGGCTTCAAATTGAGCATTCTGGGCTCGTCGTCGCTGTAAAAAATCATTTTGATTGGGAATGTCTTCATTATCATTATCAGAAGCGCCTGAAGAGAGCTCATCTTTGTGAACATCAGCACCAGAGTCTGCTGGGTCGCTTGGAGCAACATCATTTATGAAGAGGTCCCGTAACAGTGCAACATTGCTGGAGTCCTCGCCTTTCAAAGACACGGTTGACGATACATCCACCAGAGAGATTTGTTCAGTCATGGTTGAGCAATTAGGAAATGGCTGAGTTGGCGAAGTATGGAGAAAGTGCAGAAATATATTGCTTTACTTCATGAGGAGATGATTAAGTATACAGGGGGGCAGGAATAGGTTTGTAATCATTACGAGGAGAAGAAGAACTGGGTTTGTAGAAGAGGAGAACGAAGAGAGAAGATAGAGTGAATGTATAAAAAATTAGGGGAGCTCTATAGCTTAGTCGTTTGAGGTCATATTGATCGCAAACAGAAGGGTTTGCACCCAAAACAAGGACTCTGCGCATGATGACTCTGTTTCAGTCTGTTATCAGCTACTGCTTTGATGGAAATTCTTATACATTGTCACTCATAACGATCATGGAAGCTGTAGTGAAGAAACCTAGCCCTTGAGTCCGAAGCTGAGTATATCTCGACTCCGGCGCTGTTGATAAGAGCTCTGGCCAACTGATTGCGGGGTGTGGATCTGGCGCCGCGGGGCGAGTCCGATAATATTATTTTTGCGCAGGCCCAATGGCCAGGTACCGCAACGAAGCTTGTTCTTGTCGATTATCTGTGTCATATCGTCATTGCCCAGGATGGAGCAACCTCAAAGCCTCCGATCGCTATTTACCGCTGCAAAGGCTGAGAAAGCCTCGTTGGAGTCGCGGCCCGACTCCAATTCTGACTCCTATCGCAAGGATGTTAATGAAACGATAGCGAAGTTTGAGGAATGCCAGCGCCTCGTTGGCCAACTCTCCTTGTTCAGCTCGAACGAACCTCTAGAAGATATTGCAACAGGGGATATACAGTGAGTGAAATTACTACTAGAGCTGTGACGAACTTGTGCTCATGACTTGTACTTCTCTGCAAAGGTACCTCACCGTGGATTATCTCCTCGCAGACATTCTCCAACGTACCTATACCTCAGACCGCGAATCTACCATCCGGCGTGCTTTGGAACTATACGAGAAATACCTTTCGCGGTTAGATGACTATGGTCTTCTTAATGACAACGAGAAGAAGCTACACGAACGCTACATATCGAATCCCTCGTCTTTCTCCTTGACTCCGACTAATGATGCAGCCACCCGAAGAGAAGTGAAGCTATCAAGGTTTCGGGAGGAGAAAGAGCTGAAACAACGGCTTGAGGTTTGTTCAATGGTTCTCCCACGGTCGTGAGCCTTACTTACAGTCTCAAAAGTATTTGTCAAACAATCAGAGCCAACTACAAAGTGATGACGAAGACGTCCGGAAACTTTACCTGGCAGAAATCAATCTGTACACGCATCAAGCCTTCCAGTCGATGGATTTACTCTCCCAAGAACGTTCAATGCTTTCAGCGATTCGCAATAACCCTCCCAATCCCGCTGAGCTCCCGCAGGACGATCCCAGGCGACGAAACAACAACGCTGAATCAGGTTACTCGGAGCGTCTCGACCCGCCTTTGTCTCAGCTCCTCAGAGGTGGAAAGTCCCGTGCGATACTAAGTAGAGAAGGAAAGCCATTGCAGCCTTTTACTTTACTGGATCGCCGCACTCAACTCCAACAGGGCGTGTTTAGGTCCGGCCATAATCTCCCGACGATGACGATTGATGAATATCTTGAAGAAGAAAAGAGAAGAGGTGGTATAATTGAAGGTGGAGAAAAGTCTGGTATGAAAGAGGAAATAGACGAGGATGACGTGGACAAGGCAGACGAAGAGACAATGAAGGCTCGAGCCTGGGACGAATACAAGGAAGCGAACCCAAGAGGCTCCGGGAACACCTTGAATAGGGGATGATGTCTTGCCGTTGAAGTTCGTCAACATGAGATGTGCCTAGAAATGGACGCTTTTGGAGCCGATATCCCTCCTCGTGCAATGCAAGTCGTTGCTAATGATAATATCTAAACTCGCAGTAAAACACGTCTCGTGACGGCTCAATTTTTCATGTCGAGAAAATTCAAAGAGATTATTCGTTTTAAGGGAAAAAATGCCTAGAGATGAGGCGGAAGAACATGCTTATATACACTACGCAAGTTGGGGTTGTGCATTATATCTTTTTACATGGGGTATACATGGGGTATCGGCCCACTGTCTTTTTGCTAAGACTAGGGAGAAGACCAGCATCTCCACTTCGGTGAGACTGGATACTTTGCTCATCCACCAACAGTTCCTCCTCAAGGTGTGAGCTTTTTGCGTTGGATCTCCGCAAGGATCTCCCCTGCGCCCTTTTCTACCAGTGCCTTCGCCACGGTCACACCGAACTCTTCAGCGGATTCTGCCGTATCAACTGACCCATCTACTTCAACCTCAGCACTTTTACGACCGTCAACACTGACGACTGTGGCCCTCATTCTCAGCTTGGACGACCCATCGGAACCCTGGACCCACTCCGTCTCAACACCAAGAGGGGCACTGCAGCCACCCTCAAGAGTTCGCAAGAGGCTTCGCTCTGCGAGGCAGGCCATAGTCGTTTCGTGATGACCGATAGACTTGAGCATATCACGCAGAAGCTTATCATCTTCGCGAATCTCAACACCAAGTGCTCCTTGGCCAACTGCGTAGAGCATCCCGCCATTCTTAGAGTCAAGATACTGGGTTATGCGGTCCTCCAGTCCTAGTCTCAACAGACCGGCGGCAGCCAAGATAATGCAAGTAAATGGGCTATCCTCAGCATCTAGTTTCGCTAACCGAGTGCCGATGTTGCCGCGCACATCCTGGACCTTCAGGTGAGGGTATCGGCGGGCGAGTTGAGCAGTGCGGCGGATGGATGAAGTACCCACGACAGACCCTGCGGGCATCTCGGAAAAGGTCATATTGGGCAATCCTTTCTTCATCACCAGAACATCCCTTGTATCTTCTCTCTTCATCATGGGGCCCAATGTACAGGAGGAAGGTAGTTGAGTTGGTACATCTAAAATCGATTATCGGTCAGTAGCAAGCATTATAGCAATCTGAGCCAGGCGTGATAAACCTACCCTTCAATGAATGAACAATGAGATCGACATCACCAGCCATCAAAAGCTCTTCCAACTCCTGCGTCCAGAGGTTCTTTGTAGTGAATTCGCGGAGAGCAATAACCGTATTCTTATCACCCGCTGTCTCCTGAGAGTGTATTTGAAATGTATATTCCGGCCATGACTTCTTCAGCGCTGCAACAACCAGGTCGGTTTGCATGAGAGCAAGCTTAGATTTGCGTGTCCCTATTGTGAAGGTTCTCCGGGATGAGGAATTTGCGGCCTCGGAGGAAGGCGGGGCAGATGCCATTGTGATAAGTGTTTCAACAGAGGGGGGAATGAGCTTTGCTCCAGGACAGCACTGCAAACAATCAAAAGGTTTAGAGATAAATGTGCAGGATATCTGGTGAACAAAAATTTAAAGGGTCGCGTGTCTTCAAGTTGAAATCCAATCAAGTATCTCTCTAATACGATACCTATCTCCGGGAAATTTGAAGCCGCTGGCGGGCAATCAGTAACTAACGGTGGTTACCGCCTTCTGCTCTGAGGTACTGTCACAGCTTGTACCGTAAGGTACCAATAACCGTAAAGTTATCTTACCACGGGTGAAATACTCATACAGATCCCCGTGATCCATCAGTAGATGGAGTGACTGCATGACGGTTCCTCTATCACTCCAGACCACAGAGAATTTAGTGACGCTTATTGAGAAGCTTGCGTTAGTACTACTTGAACTGGTTTATTGATGTGTATCCAATCTGCCACAACCAGGTGAACAGTCTGGGGCTGGTACATCAATCCCCGGACCCGACTGACGTAGATCACGCGAACCTCGGCTTCGGGAAGCGCTTATCGCTTCAATCGCCGCCTCCCCAGAGTCACGGAGTACATCTATGGAGTTCTGGAACCTCTCCGCGCCCTTAAAACCAATCGTCCGACACCCTGCAGCCGATTTATGTTAATCAACTGGCTTCAAACGAACGCTGTATCCTCGTGCTCTTATACTAATAGCTCTGTTTGATATTGACACAAGTTGTGTCTTTCGGATTTGGGTGGCCGAAATGGGTTCCAACAACGGAAGAGCGACGAAATTGGCTTTAGTCCCTTTACCTAAAGGCTCCGTATTGCTCCCTGGCGTCACTCTACGCATACCTGTGTCGAATCGCCCCGATCTTGCCAACCTTCTCTCGACTCTTCTTGATCAGGGAAAGCGGGATGGGGACTCTATCACATTCGGTTGCGTACCTTTGAGTTCGCCATTGCTGAGCAACGACGGCCAGCAGCTGATCGATGACGGAAGTTTGGATGGTGCTAAGAAGGAGGAATATGATGCTATAGATGCAGGTCAGGCAAGAAAAGAGGATCTCTTCCGGTACGGCACGGTCGGCAAAGTGATAGGGGTGCAACGACGTGCCTATGCAGAGCCGTTCCTCGTCCTCCAAGGAGTTGAACGTTTCACCATCAAGCACATCTTGAAGGAGAGGCCCTTTTTCGAGGCAGAGGTGGTACTACACAATGAACGAGGTTGGTGCAAAAATCTATTGGCCGTTAAAGATATATTCTTCATCACAGCTAATTACAAGACGATAGATGCCATTTCCAACGATGCAGAGACCGTTGAGTTGTTCCAGCAGCTGAGACAACTATCTCGCGAACTCATAACCCTCCTACGACTGTCGTCTCTACTACCTTCGACTGGCACGCGCCTGTCGCCGCTCGTTGCTCGCAAATTCGAGGTGTACATTGCTAAGACGGATTTATCGCAGGCAGGCAATCTTGCCGACTTTATGGCAGATGTAGCTGATCCTACCTTCGAGGAGAAACTCCGCGTATTGGCTTCTTTCGCCCTGAGAACTCGGTTGGAAAGAGTCGTCGAGCTTTTGGGCCGACAGGTTCAAGGAATCAAGAACAGCGTCAAAGTTACTACGATCTCCACCTCGTCATTCCCACCGAGTTCTCCTTTTGATATCAGTCAAATTGATCCTCGAGAACGTGAGTTGTTGGCAAGGCGAGCCATGGCCGGCTTGACGGGCTTGACGCCCCCCGGAGCCACAGGCGGACGTAACAACGAGGACGACAAGGAGACAAACGAGGTCGATGAACTGCAAAAGAGGCTCCAGGAGGCAGAGCTCAGTCCCGAGGCTCGGAAGGTTGCCGACAAGGAATTGAGACGTCTTCGAAAGATGAACCCGGCAAACGCCGAATATGGCGTCTGCCGAACATATCTCGAAAACATCGCCGATATTCCCTGGACCAAGGTCACCGAAGACAAACTCGGGCCTGAGACGCTGAAGAGAGCAAGGAAGCAGTTAGATGAGGACCATTACGGTCTTGAGACGATCAAGAAGAGACTGCTTGAATACTTGGCTGTCTTGCGACTAAAGCAGTCAACCAATCAAGACGTCGAGCGGCAAATTGCTGCACTTACCAAGGAACTTGATGCTGCCAATGAAGCGCATGGCGAGAAGGACGTGCCTGCTTTGTCCGAGTCAGACAGAGTCCCCCTTGAAGCAAAATTGAATCTGCTTCAGTCAAGACGTATGGCTGACAAGTCCCCGATCCTGCTTCTCGTTGGACCACCTGGTACTGGCAAGACGAGTTTGGCAAGATCCGTAGCCACATCTCTCGGACGCAAGTTTCACAGAATTTCGCTTGGTGGCGTGAGGGACGAGGCTGAAATCCGAGGCCACCGGAGAACCTACGTCGCTGCTATGCCCGGCCTGATCGTGAACGGTCTCAAAAAGGTTGGCGTTGCCAATCCTGTATTCCTCCTTGATGAAATCGATAAAGTGGGCGGGGCCAATTTCCAAGGGGATCCGTCCGCAGCGATGCTGGAAGTCCTGGATCCCGAGCAGAACTACACATTTGTCGATCATTACATCAACATCCCAATTGACCTGAGCAAGGTTCTCTTCATAGCCACTGCCAATTCTCTTGATACCATACCCGCACCGCTACTCGATCGCATGGAGACAATCACTTTATCCGGTTACACGACTGTTGAGAAGAGACATATCGCCAAGAGACATCTGATTCCAAAGCAGATCAGGGCCAATGGTTTGTCCGAGGGTCAAGTCATTCTTTCTGATGAAGTCATTGACAAAGTCATTACCTCTTACACAAGAGAGTCTGGTGTGCGGAACCTTGAGCGCGAGTTGGGCTCAATTTGTCGACACAAGGCTGTTCAATATGCAGATGCGGTTGATAATGGCAGGTTGGATACGTACAACCCTGTGGTTGCCCTTGGCGACTTGGAAGATATTCTTGGAATTGAACGCTTTGACGAAGAGATCGCCGAGAAGCATGGTCGGCCAGGCGTCGTAACCGGTCTTGTCGCGTACTCGACTGGGGGCCAGGGTAGTATCTTGTTCATTGAGGTTGCGGACATGCCTGGCAACGGTCGCGTTCAGCTTACAGGCAAGCTTGGCGATGTTCTGAAAGAAAGTGTGGAAGTCGCCTTGACCTGGGTCAAAGCTCATTCTTTTGAGCTCGGTCTTACCCATGACCCCAACGAGGACATCATGAAGAATAGAAGCTTGCATGTCCACTGCCCAGCAGGGGCTATTCCCAAGGATGGTCCCTCTGCTGGCCTTGCTCACACAATCGGGTTGATCTCCCTTTTCACAGGCAAAGCTGTGCCTCCCCAGATTGCGATGACCGGTGAAGTCTCCCTGCGAGGACGTGTGATGCCTGTTGGAGGTATCAAAGAGAAATTGATTGGAGCACTGCGCGCCGGTGTCAAGACTGTTCTTCTACCCGAGCAGAACCGGAAGGACGTCAAGGATGTACCGCAAGAGGTCCATGATGGCTTGCAGATTGTCTATGTCAGGTAAGACATCATTATATTCACACCGAAAAAGCGTAACTGATCACTGACATATGTTGACCACAGGCATATTTGGGAAGCTATTCGTCAAGTCTGGCCTGACGCCCATTGGCCTGGACAACACCACATGAACTTTGTCGAAAGCCGGCTGTAGAGTTCTTCTTCGACTTAAACTCTTTGCTCTGAATTCTACTCATACTTTTTGCATTCCTCTTCATTGCTTGCGCTGACCATTGACCATTTTGGCTCATATCACCGTGTCACTCTTTCTTATATTAGCGCATTCAAAGCCAATCACTCTAGCATAGCGTCTTATATAGCCTAGTCAATGACCATCTTGGTTTTACTTCTTCCGTGTTACGTCCATCTTAAATTTGCACATGCTGAAATTGGAGTCTCCGGTGAAAAACTACACCCCTGAATATCATATTTATAGTCAGATGAAATTTCGACATATGGTACAAGGTTAATGAACATGTAAAAGAAACGGATCCGGGAAAGGAAAAGGCCCCAAAAAAGAAGCAAGTTTCCGCTTTCCTATCCCCAAAATGAATGAAGCAGAAAAAGAAAAGGAAGGCATCTATGAACTTGTCGAAGTCGAATCCTTGGCTGCTTTGAATATCGACCGGTCATAGTTGAGTCCCAATGCCTGCCAACTCGGTCTCCAGGTCCTCGTGCCGTCCAGCAGCTGCTTCGCCTCCTTTGCGTATTCTTCACGCTCAGTCTTGTTGGGCTCCATGGCAGCGTCGGGTCGTTGCGAGCGTTGAATTTCTTCCTGATACTTCTCCGCGTTGAAGTACTGATCCTTCTCCCATCTGTTCCAAAGTATATTAGCACACGTCCACGCCGCCGGAATTCCACAAAATGAAAAATGAAAAAAAGGGTAGACATACGGTGACATATCCGTCGGCGCCTCGGGCCACACAAAGGGCTCTTTCATTTCCACCGTCATCTTCTTCTTGGACATCGGTCTCCTCAGACGGCCGTATCCGAACTTGCCCAGGGGCCGCAGGCGGGTCACTTTCTGTTGCTCAACGTAACTGCGGATGCGGAGGACACCGACGCCGTATAAGCGCTGCAGGTAGTCGCGCATATCCAGCTTGTTGAAATTCAAGGGCACGTAGAATGTGGCATATCGGGGGGGAAGGAAGGGTGTGCGAATGAGGGCGATTGTGAAGTCAGGACTACATCGCGATTATATTGTCAGCCCGAGGAAACAAAGACGCCCAAGTGAGGAATCAGAGGAGGCTCATTGAGTTTTTTGAATCAGACTTGGTGAACTTACAGAAATACCTGCTTCCGCATCGACAGCGGCGCCGAAGGGGGCACCCAGTCTGCGGACTTTTTGGGAAATTTAGAGAATTTGCGCACCATCTTGATTATATATCTCCAGGCTTCAACTGTGAAGTCGGACACCAGATAGAAGCGCAAAAGTGATGGGTATATGGATAGGATTCGTGCTCGATTGCCGGATCCTCTCAACTCGGCGGAACTTTTGGAAAAATGCACGTGTGGCCGCACCGCCTACCGTATAAAAGTGCTGCGATAGCACATGTTCACAAAGTACAAGACCCTATCTACAACATTTTATGTGTACTCAGCATAGAATTATAAAACTAAAATTGGAACAGAATATCGAACTGTGTTTTCATTATCATCATAAGTTTGATTGACTTTTGCGTTATCATGCTGAGGGCTACCGCCCTTCAGACGCCTCTGATACATGCAGTTCTCCCAATCTCCGAGAACTCTCACTAATCTCATCAGTTACAGAATCAGACGGTCGTTCCTGATCGTTGTCGTCATGCTCATGCTCTTCCTGTGATTCCGATCCTGACTGTTCGTCCTCCTCGTCGCTGTCTCCACCTTCTTTCGACTCGTCGCCATCCCCATTTGCGCCGACTTCCTTCATGTAGGCTTCCAGCTCGCGAGCCATCTTCCTCGAGAAACCAGACGCTTCTACCTCGACATCCAACCGCTTCCCAGGGTTCTTCAAGAGCTGCTTCTTAGCGTCCGCGAAGGAAGGGCCCGGCTCATCGCTAACAAAATGGAACTTTCGTTGGAAATAGCGCTTGATGCAATTCACGTCACGGTCAAAATACATCTCCGCGTTTGGATGATCGACTGACACCATCTGCGGGAAATCGATAATGACCGGAACCAGCCGGATATTCTCATCGTTCTCCGCATCAGCAGGAACTTTCCCCTTCGCATCGGGATCCTCTTCTTCTTTGATCAAGATATTGAACTCGTTGTAGTCACCGTGAATAAGGCCAAACCGAGCAAGCTCCATGATCGTACCCATAAGCTCCGAATACAATAACGCAGGCTTGGGGACTCTCGAAATCTGTCGTAGCGGGAATGCGTCGATCAAGCTCATGACGATCGTGTGTCTGTTCTGCGCAATAGGTTCGGGTACTGAGAACCCGTTCTCTCGAAGAGCCTTCATAAAAGCAAACTCCTTCATCGCCGCCAACCTCGACATGTACATCCATGAACCTGTACTCCGATTGCGCAGGTAGTCTCTGTTGGTCTTGACTGTTCGGAAGGAAATGCGGCCCAGGCGATGGATCTTCAAGATGCATTGTGTTCCCTTACTATTCGCGACAACGACGATATCTGACTCTTTCCCGACACCGATCTGGTTTCCGACGGAGTAGATACATTTCTGCTTCTGGTGAGCGTTCAGCGCCAGGTAGTCGAGACCTCCGTAAGTGAGCCGGTAGCCATCATCTGAATGCAGAACAGAATTAGCATAAACATTCATCCAAAGTATATCACCAGTAAGGTGCGAATAACTGTACATTTTGCATTCTTCACTTTCGCGATCAAATTAGTCTTAGCCAGGTTGGAGATAGACCGATGGACTCCACTGCCGCCCCGGAGGCCTGAGAGCTGTACGATCAAGGGCGTCGGTACGACTTCATGATTTCTACTTCCAGTTTCGACCTATGCAGAGCCCTTGTTAGCTGTCAGACAACGAGCTGTGATGAAAAGCAGCAAAGGCGGGGCAAATGGCAGGCATACCGCAGTGAGAACGCGGAAATCCTCGGAAGTGAGATATCGAATCGCTTTGGGATCGAGCTTCATTCTTGTCCGTATCGACTGATAAAGGCGATTGTACGAAGGTGAAAGAAAGATATTGTTCGTACAGTCTCTCTCTATCGCCTGGCCTTGTTGCGGATGTCATGGCGGAAAAAAGTTACATGTTTGGAGCCCTATGCCCTACTTTCCTATTTGAGCTCTTCCTTGGTATATAGTCCTTTGCAAGCCACCATTGACATCGCGATAGTCTGAGTTGATTGTTCACAGAGGTCTTTAAGTACTTATAGAGCAATGATTTTTTTCCCCCATGATTGGAGCCACCACCCGATGTAGGTCGGGCAATCCATGGAAAGAACATTATTCGCCTTTGCTGCCCTCGGACTTATGTATGATTGTATATGATCCGCCTCCGTGAGAGCCAGTTACATCTTATTACATCCGCAACCACGCAATCACTTATAGTCTAGAACTAGATTGTGGCATGTTATTTGTCGATTCGGTTTCAAATACATTAAATCCAACCTCATCGGTCGCTATATGGTTGCACCCCGCACCCGGCCCAACTTGCAAAAGAAGTGTTACGAATGATCGTTTCAATCAAGCGGAATTCTCTTGCCAATCAGGGTTCTAAATCATGCCAGTTAGTTATCAGGAAGGATATTCAAATGGAAGCATCATTTGAGAGGCTTACCTTTCGTAAGATCACAAGGCCTTCAAGGGTGCTACTAAGGGGAATGTATTGCTCATCCTCCAGCTCTGCTCTTTCACCGTAGGACAGAAGAACAGGTGTGCTCTGTGTTTGCCAGCCGGTGATCGTCTTGGGACGACCGGCTTGGCCAACCACATCCACAGCCTGACCCACACGTACGTTCACGGTGAGTGGTTGGAGGTCCTCGTCAAGCGTAACGAGGAACCGTGGGTACATGGCGGTGATAAGGAAGTACAGGAGGTAGTGATGTTCGGCAAGGATGAATTGTTTGGCGTCGATCAAGGATACAACGACAGTGAGTAGGCCAGCGGCTGCTACGCGGGAAAGAACTTGGCGGTCGGTGTGGAACGGGTTCAGGGTCATCGTGCCCTTGCCCATGTGAAGAAGACCCTGGGCGATGCGGACCATGAATAATGAGTTTTGGTCACGGTGGTAGTAGCTTGCTAATTGCCTCAGCAACTGCGCAAGGCGGGCATTATTGGTACCCGCTCCACAGAGACCCATGGCGAAGATCGCGTTGATGGCGACATCATTGTCATTGTCGTGGCTGTACCGCGACAGTGTATCGTAGACCTTCATCTGCGGGTTGCTGGGGCTGATCAGGCCCATTGCAAGTGGGACAGCCTTTCGGATGTTGCTGGCACCGTAGTGCATAAGATGACCGAACTGTCTGAGAATCATGTCCTGTCCGACTTCCTCGCCCATAGCGATGAGGGACAGACCTAAGACAGCGTAGGATTGGACGAGTTCATCTCCTTTCTTCTCATCATTCTCTTCAATAAGGTCATTACAAATGTGGAGAAGCTCCTGCAGCTTCAACACCGTACCAGTTCCTGCCCAGGCACAGACAGAGGCAAGAACGGACGTCGGCTTGGCCATTGGGTGGTCGACGGCCTTGAGAATGTCGAGAATGACGTCGACCTCCTCCTGGCGGCCAAAGTACAGTAGAGCCAAACCGAGAGCCATGAAGCGGGTCCATTTATCTTTCAGATGCTTCTGTCGCTCCTCATCCATCAAGGTCGTAGCAATGGCTTCACTGACTTGATGATTCGAAGAGCCAACGAAAATAAGACCTAGTGAGACAGCCGCCATTGCCGAGAGCTGCATATCCAGGGAGACATCTTCGACGACGGGAAGCAGGATTTCCAGGAGCTCCTCCTTATTGGAGCCGGCGTAGGCCAGACCAAGACCCATGATAGCAGCAACTCTGACTGGTACGCTCTTCTCTTGCCAAACTTCGGGATCGCCCAAGAGAGCCAGAACGGGGTCCGCCTCTAATCGTACGCCGGAACCGATCATACCTGTGCCCAGCAAAGCACCAGCCTTGATTTGCTCTTCGGTAGCATAGGTAAACTTGTCAATTCTGTCCAAGCCAGAGTCGGTGTCCTTCGACAAGAGCATGCCGAAAGAAGCCGTTGTGGACAGCATGCCATCATCCTTTGTCTTCCAGATCCAACTTCCCTTGTCATCCTCTCCTAGCATCAGGTTGTCTTTACCAAAACCAGCATTGGCAAAAGCGTTCACAAACGCGCTTGCTAAATTATGTCTCGCAGAGTCAACATTTGTCAAACCAGCGCCTCGGCTGCTTTCCAGGTGCGTCTTGTAAATGTCCTCTGGATTTTTGGGTTCAAGAATATCAAGCTCTTTGCCCAGGGATTTGAAATGCTTAGAGATCGATGTATTGTTAAGACAGTCCATGAAGGATGTGTTCTCCTCCTCTTCGGGCATATCGAGCCAAATCTGCTGTCTGGCGACCAGGAAAGCCATTTGGTTCTTGAGTACTGGATCAGAAGTAGCGTTGATGTCACTCCTGATGAGATCCGTGTCGTTCAGTCGAATGGCAAGTACGATTGCTTTAGTGAGCTCCTTGTAGCGGACGTAGATCTCGTGTGCCGTGCGGAGGAAATGCTGATCTTCAGGATAGGTGAGGAGGTTAACCATGCTGACCATATACAGACAGACTCTCGAGTAATTGTTCTCGTCGAGAAAGCGGGGGATCTCCTCAATGATTTCCAGCTCACTAAGGAGGTCAACAGCATCGGCTTCGGCATTATGACTCAGGAAGTAGGGGACAAGCGACAATGAGAGATCGATCAGGTCCTGTACATCTTTCTCAGCGTTCAACCTGTTTTGGTACTCTTGACCGATCTCCAAAGCCAGATGCCTAATATATTCGTGACCCCACGAGCCGAGATCTTCTGCCTTTGTGAGAAGGCGATACTTCAGCGTCTCGAGCTTCTCCTCATCCCCGTACGTCATCCCGAGAACAGACAGCATATCCGCCAGTGAGTCCTAATTAAAGACCATTGTATCAGGAAAGAGCTTCAACCCAGACGAGATTTGGAGGTTAACCAACCTTGACAGCGCCTGCCGACCACTTCTCGTAGAGCTCTGTCAGTTCATCGTAGTGCGGTCTAAGAAATTTGAGGGGTTTGGGCACAGCGGTCATAGAAGAAGTCGAGGTCTTTATGAAATTCTTGATCGCATCTAAGGCAGGAGCATAGAGCGACATATCCGGTTCCTGATGAAGGTGAGACATATGGGTTAACGTCATCGGCCAACTAATTGAGATTTCAGCTCGATCTTATACCTTTAATCTCTCAACGAGCATCTCAAGCTCACTCTTCAGCTGCTGATCTTCTTCGCTGAGTTCCTCTAAAATAACCCTGAGCGTTAACTCTTCTGTTGTAGCAAAGACGCCATTCGGGACGGTGGCCTAGCCATTACATGGGTGGATTATGACATACCTTCCTTCGACTCCTCCTCCTTCTTTTTTCCATTCGCTTGTGACTTCTCATCATTCTGTGTCTTCTTCGCTCCGGGCAAATCCTTCACATCATCAACCTTGCCCTTGCCCTTGTCGGCGGGAGCTGACCTCTCGCCTTCTTTCGCCATTTCTGACGGGTACCTGGCGAGTGGGTCTCGGTTTGGGCGAGGAAGGTAAAAAGGTAGGATGGGAAGATTCGTAGAAGCTGCTTATAATCTCAGATACAGCAGCAGACAGCGTATTAGTGAGATCTCTGCACACTGATGGATGGAGCAGAGAGCGAATCCGGAGCTTGTTGATGGAAAGCAAGAGAGCTCACGCTCATCGCCGCTTGGGTGTTGCGCTACAGTGGAGCTTCCTCCCGCTTATGTAAGGCTACTTCACCGCCGAGATATGTATTCGCTTTTCGCGATATCAAATTATGGCAAACAAATTGCTACCTAGGCTTGAATATGCCGATGTCCATAGCCTAGGGAAAAGGAGCATCTGTGTGCACGCATTGTCGTGGTGCGATACACACCCGCTTAGTAATGGAGGAAACATATGTCAATGCTGGATTCTAAAGAAGAAAGACTTCGAACTCAGTAGGAACACTGGGTATAATTAGACTACACGATTCCAACTATCCAAATGGACTTTGCCGGTACTAAATCCGAATATAGGATGACTGAACATAGTTCATATTATACATGCTCTATTCTCCGTCCGCTCGCTCATGCGGACAGAACAATCTCGTCAAGGTCGAGCCCTCTGTCAAGTCACTGTCTCGACAGCCGCCATAACGGATAGCAAACTTCCTCGCGTATTCCTCGGTGTCTCGCGAGTAGATTAGGTCTGATATTTCCTCGCCACGGTATGACAACAGGGGCAAACTGCTCAGGTCCGGCAAAGTGAGAGAGAAGCGCTCAAGAAGCGGCATTAATGTTGATGCCTGGTCCAAAGGTTTTTCCTCAGACAATTGATTAATGGATGGCCCAAGAGTCATAGTTGAGTCTGCTTGGTAGTCGTCTAGAAATTCTTCAAGTGGTTGAGTCAGCTCGCTATGAACTGTTGCAAGAGTAAAAGTGCCTCGGTCGGGGAACATTGGGTAAAGCAGGTAATAACCCCGAGCTCGAATTAGCTCGAGTAGGTACTCCATTACAGCAGGATATCTTTTTGAAATAGATTTCTCGTCAGTAGACTTCTCAGACGTCGGCTGGTGTAGAGCGAGGCGGTCAGTGAGGAAAGAATGGAGGTCAGCCCATCCATCGCCGAAATACAAGGCCGCATGGCTGTTTGGAGCCTGCCACAAAAAGACAGGAAGCGTCTCGCCAGCTAGCTGCTGTGATTTCTGGATTTCTTTCTCAACTTTCGGTGGCGTGAATGGCTCGTCATCCGTGGGTCGTGATGAGGGAAGCTCGAGCGAAATTCCGAGTAATTTGGAAGCGGTGCGCTTGGTTTGAGCCGAATGCTTATATTTCAGTGTAGTATACTTCAAAAAATGGTAGAATGAAGGCGCCAGCTCGGTCTCTGGGGCCAATAAGAGCACATGCGTTACGTTAGGGTTTCTAGGATAGAAAGCCTCCACGG